ATACCATAAATATACAATTGTGTAAATTTTGGTCTTTCACCATATTGTGACATTAAACATGGTATGTGATGATGAATGTGTTCGCTGAGAGTACATTATTGTTCAACCATTATTGTGAGATGTATCAATATTTCCATTTATAAATGTTAATGAAAACATACAGTTGTATTTATTTAAGTTTTTCATGGTAATGAGAACCTTTCACACCAAGACCATAAAATAAGTTATAGAGCAAATCAGATGGTTTTCCTTAGAAGAGACAATTAAACTTTTTCTTTTATGCCATAAATTGAAAACTTTAGTTGTTTTGAATCTTTATTCATTTGATTCTTTCTTCATAGTTCATGTCATAACAAAGTTTCCCGAAATTCACACATAAATGCAAGATTCCCAAAATAGATTATATCTGAAAGAAAAATAAAATATAATGTATGCAGTCTTATATATATATATAAAGGATATATATATATATATATATATAGCATTCTACACAACTTACATGTTGCATATATAATCTAATAAACATATTTTTAATTTTTATTTCCCTAAATACAGGATCATCTAAAATTGATTCCACTAATGTAACTTAAACATATGAACATTCTACCTTGACATTTAAATTTAAAATATATCGAGTGTGTCCACCATATCTATTTTCTTACATTGTTTATAATGATTTATACAAAAAGACAATAGTTGTATTATCATATTCAAAGAAATTAGTAGAATGGGTTGTAAACATAGACCAATTCTCTTCTGTTTCTTATGCACTTAAAAGCGTGATGAAGCGTGTGTATAATTGTTTCGTGGTTGGAAAATTATAGATGATTTTTTGGGAAATATGTACTGGAACGTGTTTGCAAAGTATATTCTATCTCGAACGTGTTCGATGATGCGAGTTTATAGCCGATGATGATCACTCCCCTTCTGTATTTGTAATAAGCATCATAAAATAAATATTATAATTTTTTATCTAAAAACTTTAAATATTTTTTTTATTATCCACTAATATTTGTTACATTGATGTAGATGGTTCAATGAATAAGTAAGAAAGAATATTACTTACTTATATTATTTTGACATAGATGTCAAAATAATTAGCACATTTTTTAAGAATTAAATATAAAAGTAATTACATTTATAACAATTAATATTATACCACAAATATTTCGATTAGGAACACCAATTAATATTTAATTTCTTACACATAAATACTCACTTATCAAGTCTTGATCATTTTAGAAAGTTATAAATGGAAATGATAATTTTTGTTACATGTAAATTTTTACAAAGCTTTACATGGAAAACAATAATTTTAAAATGGAAAATACTAATTTTAAAATGGAACATACTTTTTATTTGATTTAGAATTTTTTATATATATGGAATAAAATTAATGCTCTATTAAATAAGCTTGCCCATAAAAATCCATTTCCTTTTATATATTTGTTTCTTTTTTTTTAAATAATTAGAAAATCTCTCCAAATACTATTAATTCAAAGCAAAAAAATCAAATGTAATTTCGTTTAGTCCCACCAATCTATCCGTTCTTAAAGTAAATTTATTTGTTTTGATTATAGTTTTTGAATAGGTGGTTTTTTCAAATTTCAAACTATACTATTTAATTTAAATATTTTCCAATAATGAATGAAAATATAAAAGTTTTTAAACGCAATTATATGGAGAAATTTATGTGTAACAAATATGAAATTTAATTTCTGCATAATAAGTTTTTTTGTTAACTATTTTTTAAACATTACTTGCTAACATGACATGCTGATATGTTAAAAAAATTGTCTAATAAGCACGTCACATGTCAAAATTCTAGAAGCCCAACCCGTTTGGAATATTGAGGAAGTTGATTTTGATGACGTGGCTCATGAAGTGTCAAAAAAAGATCCAGTCAGCACGCTAAATGTCGCAATTCTGAGAGTTCAACTCTCAAATATTATATAAAGGATTCTTTAAAAGAATAGATTGTCGTAAATAAAAAATTCTTATTTATTTAATTATAAATTAACTTCTAGGCCAGTTTCTAGAGCGTTACACTAACTTTGGTCCTTATACAAAATTCCAAGTAATCTTGGGAATATATAAGGTATCATAAAGTTTAATACATAATCCACTTTTGATTATTAGTTCTAAGGTTAAATAATTTTTCATTCATGATGAATGGGCATTTAAAACATGTCATGTAATTTATTCATTTGCCATGTTGTAACTTGCCATGTAAGATGACACATATCAACATATTAGAGACACGAGTCTCAAATATTACAGTAAAGGACTAGTGTGTTGCACCATTCATATTAGCGTTATAAATTTTTGTTGGCAATGTTAAAAAAGTAAAAAATGTACCATATAATGAAATATAATGTTCTTTGTTTATATAAAACATAAATATCATATAATTTATAAATTTTGAAAAACTTCTTTATAAACTACATTAGTACTACATTTGGTGGAAACATACTCTGCATCGTCAATAAGAATCTTCAAGCCGGTACGATTTGTTACTCTTGAAACCGCAACATATAATTGTCTATAACTAAAAACCGGTTTTCGTAACAATAATCCAACATGTCTTAATGATCAGCCTTGACTCTTATTTATTATCATTGCATATGAAGTGACTACAGGGGATTGTTTTCTTTGGAACTTGAATGGTAATTTTGAATCTGATGGCGTCAGTGATAGTTTTGGAATAACAACTTCTTGACCCACGTGTGTTCTAGACAATATCTTCTCTTGTATCGAATGATTAGCCATCCAAGTTACTATCAATTGTGTATCATTACACAAACTCATCGAATGATCGATGATCAATATTTCTAAGCAATATGATGGGAGTGCCTACCTTCAAAATGAGTTCATGGTTTGGTACTCTAGAAGCACAAAGCTTAATCAAGAACTCATAAGTATGCAAATTAGTAAAAAAAATTCGAATTGGAGTCCAAATTGACTACTTTGTCCAAACTAAGATACGTGCGAGATTCCTCGTTTGGATTCATTGATGTCATATCTTCATTTATAGAATCAACTACATCCAACGTTGGAGCCAAAATTGCACGGTCATGCAGATAGCTTGGATCATCACTATTTTATGAAAGTTTGGATAAGTAGAAGTGACTATAGCTAGGTGTGAATACAATTTTTTATTTGTGAAAATGATTTTTAATTTGAAATGCAAAATTTTAATCCTCTTATTCTTTGATATACATACCTCGCAAACCAAGATCCTAAACTCGCTAGTCTGCATACCAAAAAGCTTGACACACTCTTTATCCCAAAGAATAAAAGAAGCACTATCTGAACTGTCAATAACACAGACATTGACCTTGTACCTATTATATAGAAGTTTAGGCTTGTATTCAAATTTTAAATTTGAATTGTAACATGTAGTTAATTTTAGAACATAAAAGAATATATATTATATAACCTATCCACTCCATCGGGATATATAGTCTTTCTTACATTTCTTGCATTTCAATCGCGAACCTTCTAAACTAATCTTAGTGTTGCATGTCTTACATCCTAGATAGCACCATTCGTTTGTGTTTTCAATCTCAACCACATCACCAATTATCCAATAATAGCCTTCTGCAAATATTTGCAAATATATTTTAAACAATTTTATAAACACACATAATATTATTATTTGTCAAAAAATAATTCAAAATTAAATCTTACTAACCATATTTTAATATGCATGTACGTTTATAGAAGTGGTAAAATTCCTTCAATACCTTGGTTTTTTAAATAGTGAAAAACCACCCATTTATATATGTAAATTCCTTCAATTTTCTTTCTTCCAAACAAATCAAACGATTAACAAAAGGATTTTATAAAGTAATTTTTTTCCTTAAAATACTTACAAACCTGCATGTGTAATTAGAAAAAGCTTTCTTTTTCAACCAATTACACTGAATTTTACCATTTCTATAAATGTACATGCATATTAAAATATGGTTTGTAAGATTTAATTTTGAATTATTTTTTGACAAATAATAATGTTATGTGTGTTTATAAAATTGTTTAAAATATATTTGCAAATATTTGCAGAAGGGCTATTATTGGATAATGGGTGATGTGGTTGAGATTGAAAACACAAACGAATGGTGCTATCTAGGATGTAAGACATGCAACAGTAAGATTAGTTTAGAAGGTTCGCGATTGAAATGCAAGAAATGTAAGAAAGACTATATATCCCGATGGAGTGGATAGGTTATATAATATATATTCTTTTATGTTCTAAAATTAACTACATGTTACAATTCTAATTTAAAATTTGAATACAAGCCTAAACTTCTATATAATAGGTACAAGGTCAGTGTCTGTGTTATTGACAGTTCAGATAGTGCTTCTTTTATTCTTTGGGATAAAGAGTGTGTCAAGCTTTTTGGTATGCAGACTAGCGAGATTAGGATCTTGGTTTGCGAGGTATGTATGTCCAAGAATAAGAGGATTAAAATTTCACATTTCAAATTAAAAATCATTTTCACAAATAAAAAATTGTATTCACACCTAGCTATAGTCACTTCTACTTATCCAAACTTTCATAAAATAGCTTATGATCCAAGCGATCTGCATGACCGTGTAATTTTGACTCCAACTTTGGATGTAGTTGATTCTATAAATGAACATGTGACATCAATGAATCTAAACGAGGAATCTCGCACGTATCTTAGTTCAGACAAAGTATTCAATTTGGACTCTCATTCGAATTTTTTTAATAACTTGCATACTCCTGAGTTCTTAAATATATTTCATTACATGGTATATCTTTTATTTTTTTTTAACAATGCAAACAGAAATTTCTAATATGAATCCTGCGGCGCATATGTGTGATCCTAGTTCTTTTTTTAAAAAAGTTGGCATAAAATAGAATATCACTGCAACCTCACCTCATCTCGGAGCCGGGCTTCATAAAGATTAAACTCAGGAGAATCGATTGCTGAAAACACAAAACGGGAAGCATCGCAAATTTATTCGAATCTCCGTCGATATAGTACAGGAAGAGCTTTTATAATGAGTAGAGGGAGCGGAGGAGGTTACGATCGTCACATCACGATCTTCTCCCCGGAGGGTCGCCTCTTCCAAGTCGGTAAGCCAATTTATCTTCTTTTCTTCAAAAACAGCGAATGTATTTCCGATCTCGGTCGAAATTGTATGTTTTCGTTGTTTCTGTGAACAGAGTACGCGTTCAAAGCCGTGAAGGC